AAATGTGAAGTGATGCATGACTGCATTGGAATTCTAAAATTGCCAACTGATTTGCAGGAGATTTTACATACACACACACACTCATATATAGATGCTCATGGTTGAAAAGAAAACAAAAGTCAGAGGGTCCACAAAAGCTTACAGAGTTTTATTAGTAAATTATACACTTGATGTGGAAATTGGTATGTTAGTCCCTGACCTCCTAGTATAAGCACATTGCAGTGGGTTTTGAATAAAGGGGTAAGACTGATTTGCAGGAGATTTTACATACACACACACACTCATATATAGATGCTCATGGTTGAAAAGAAAACAAAAGTCAGAGGGTCCACAAAAGCTTACAGAGTTTTATTAGTAAATTATACACTTGATGTGGAAATTGGTATGTTAGTCCCTGACCTCCTAGTATAAGCACATTGCAGTGGGTTTTGAATAAAGGGGTAAGGTGAAATGAAAGTTAAAGAGGGGAAGAGAGAGAGAAAGAAAGGAAGAATAGAGATCACCAGCGCTGGCTCCAGCATTGACCCAGCTGAGATGTCCAGGGTCCTTGGGGCACATGCATGCCTGGGTTTTGTGGGGGTACCATTTTATAGGATCAGTTTTCCCTGTCCCAGAGATAAGTTTCTTGCTTTCTATGCAAATTAGTTACCACGCACACTCCGTTCTTCTAGACCTTTCTGGAAATGGGTTGGAAGGCTTTGGGGGCCTTGGGTGGTCTCGATCCCATCCTACAGTCCATGCCCATGTCTTGGCCTTATTCCTGCACTTGTGCTGTACTGTGTTGTGCTTATCTCCAGAGCATGAACAAGGGCGTTTGTTCCAAAATAGTGCTGCCCTACCTCCATATGGCCTTCTTCTCCAGCCACATCCTGTTCTTTCTTACAGTGTGTTACTACCAACAATCCTTGGTTGCCTCCACCGCTATCAGTGTTTGAGACATACACATTAGCCCCCTTATTCTACAGAGAACCCACTCTCAAATTTGGTTACTGATTCTTCTCTTGATGCAATACTACAGTCACATGAATGAGAAGTGCCTTGTGAGCCTGGACTTTGCAAGAACTCATGAATATTTGAACCTCATCCCATTACATTCATACCATGCTCAGCCCAGTGAAAAGTGCTACTATGTACTGAGGCACCTTTATTTCAAACAGCAGCATCTTGTGCACCTAAATTCTCCTCCTGATAAAACTGAAAGCCCAAAACCTTGCACAGAGCAAAATATTTCCAAAGAAGCTGGTGTGCAGTACTTGATGTTCTGAAACTTGTTTTTGAAAAAGTTTACTGTGGAATACTTAAGTCTTTACAGCTTCCTCCACTCCCCCTTTTTGAAAGGAGCAACAGCTGAAAAGTTGGTCAAGCGGGCCTACATCTATGTAGTAGTTATATTATCTTCTGCTCCTTTCATTTCCTATAAATTACATTTAATGCACTAAACACATACTTGTAAAAGTAAATAAACACCAGTTATCATAAGAACACACACAACAGAAGCTATTCAATAACACTTCATTTCACTGTATCTCTTACTAAGTGTTTCATGGAATACCTTAAAATGGAACACTAAGCATGCCTATGTATTTCACAAAAATACAGAAAATGCACAACTAAAATGCAGGAAGGCCAATTTGACAAACACAGTGTTATTAGCATAAGCTAATAATTAGCTCAGCACTTAACAAGACTAATGAAACTGGCCCTTTGCAATTTAACTGTGCAGTATCAGCCAGAGCTGAAGAAATTATAGTCCAATAATTTATTTCTAGAGAAGAAAAGGAGAACACTGCTGTCTCTACCTGTGAGCCCATTTTGAGGTCAATGGCAAGAGAAATGGGCAGCTTTCCATCTTTGCACTCTCATCCTCAGTCTTGAGGGTCCCACCTTTTAAACTGGATTGACATGGCAGTGACACATCTCTACTCTAACTGCAGTAGCATTAGAGAGGAAAAATGGGGTAGGGGAAAGAGACTGTATTTTTCAGAAGCATCAGACCAGAAGGTCAATGGAAGTCATAGAAACAAATTTTCAAAGCTGTAGATGTGTCTAAAGAACCTATGCAGACATTGCCCCAAAAAGACTTCTCAAAGGCACAAACATGAAATAGAAGACAACACTGCTCAAAATTCACAGTTAGTTATTCTGGCCATTGGTTGGTAGTACACTGCAACTACTGTGCTCAGAGATTTTTGTGATCTACTAATTGCACTAATGGATTCAATACCAACTGTCTCTGCCCCATATCTGTTAGCTTATTGCCCAACAATTCACCACCATTCCTGTACTCCTGACCAAATACCTTAACCAACCATGCCAAATCAGTTCCCCTTACCTTCACACATTATGTAAGTACAAGACACACTTCAGGTTTGTGCATATAGAGAACTCAGTGCAGGTACTTCAATTATTTGTAAAACTGCACCATGAATTCAGTATCATAAGTGTTTGGGCACCTCACTGAATTGCTGCAGTGTCATGCAGAACCACAAAATACATTAACATTTGGGAGCAGAACCCATGAGTCACATTCACAGGCTCAACTGTGGTACACTTACAAAAAGTCTATGTTTCTTGAAACAGTAGTAAAAAGCTCAGCTGTCCAAACAAGTTTCAGACCTGCGCAGTTCTACATTACTCAGTTTTGCAGAAATAATTGAGATAAATAATTATGTGCCAGAAGCCTTATATTTCCAATTTTCATATCAGAAAAAATCTGAACAGATTTAAATTACCTTGCACTTGTCTGGACTCATCTGATTTTTTTTCCCTAATAACATGTTTACGATCTTTATGAGGATGCTTCTCTTCTAGACAGTCATACTGTAACAATCCACAAAGCAGCTAAGATAAGAGGTTTTGAGAAGACCTCTTCCTCCAGAACAAAGGTGGACTAACCTAAGATGCTTTCACTTTTCATCACTGCCCTTATGCCAGCAATAAATGTGCCAAAGTGCACACAAGCCCTCCCTAATCCAATTTGAAATGAGCCAGCTTATAACAGAGTGAGACTGTTAGCCACAAGAACTGCTTCTGGAAGAATGTATCAGTAATATCTTAAAACACCTCAGCTATTTGCAAATTGCATTTGTCCACACCTGTACTTTAGCAGAGGTGTGCATCATGCTGCCAGAGCATATTTCAGAGAAGGTAAGTCATCTTGGTTCAAGTGAGTCACTTTGACAATATCAGTATAGTTAATGTAATAAAAACTGGCAGAGGTTAAAACAAGAAAATATTTCAGGCCAAAACCAAGCAGTTTGGTAGCTTACACAGTAACTGTGAAAAACAGAACTGTATTTGAAAATCTAGAATTAAAAGCAGCCAAAAACTGATTTTGTTCTTAAAAAATAAAATATCCAAACAGTTCATTCCAGGAAGAAAACAAACCCCTCTGATTTCTGTCTCAAGTATCTCTTTGGCATCCAGTGACTCAGGACAGAATACCTGTTCTGCTAACATCTACTCATAGTCCTCAAAAACCCAGGAATTTTGTCCCCCAGTATTAAAATTCTCAAATTCAGGAGAAATAACAGCACAGAGTATGTTTCTCTATCTTGTTGTTGTTATTAATTAAGTCTCATTTGCTGCTCCTGAATTGCTGCTATTTAGTTGCACTGGATGGGTGTGTTAGAAAGTAATGGAAGATGGATCAACAGCTGTAGTTATTATGAAAATTATGGCAGTACATGAGAGGAATTGCAGCTGCTCAATTCATGCAAATAAGAGCTACTTGACAATGCCTATAATTACACAGTATGTCAAAACAGCATAACTGGAACGTAAGTAGAGACTACATATTTCAGAGAGCCAAAAGATTTCCATTTCATTATGTTCATATTCCCTAAACTCCTATTTAGGGATAACATGATACACTTTCTGTCAACGGACTCACAAATACAGAGAGGTCTACTGAGTCTCCCAGGTGCATTCCCCTGTCAGCACTGCAGCTGCCTAGCACGGAGCCTCTCCCCGTGTTTCCTCAGCATTTGTAATGCAGCCTGTACTCAGAACTGAGCTTTCAGCTCACCACGTGCTGAGCAGATATGAAGAAAGTCCCAGCCACATCTACTTTCAAAGCAAAGGAAGATTGCTTCCAAGTGGCTCAGACAATGCAGATACCATCTCCTCTAACCAAAGCCTGTCCCTGATAGCAGGAACGGCGCTGTAATATTCTAGTTTACTTTCCTTAGTATTCCTTTAGAATGTACCTGCTTTCAGCTTGCTCTGGACAATACCTTTCCCATTCAGACACTGAGGCCCTCTTTAAGAGCACATTTCCTTCTCTTAGGTAAGAACTTCACCAGCTCCTCACTTTCAGAGAGGCTGCCCACAGCGCTTATCCTGTTACATCTGTAAGGCTGTTTGCACATTAGCAATGGTTTATATAAAGTGACATTTTATTATTTTAGTTTCTTCCCATTCCCATTCTGCATTCAGTCTCTTTAATTAAAGCCCTTTGTTTTTCACTAGTTGTTTCATGCCAGCAAATCCCTGCACCTGCATGGAAAAAAACAGGGACGGAATCTCATTTGCTTTCTCCTGCACCTCAAACTCTTGTTTCAACACAAAGTTATGTTACAAATAATAAACCCAGAACATGAAATACCAGACTAATGAACACATTTATTTATTTTTACTTGTGATATCCACACAAAGAGACACAGGGGGATACACAGTTTTGCAGTCCTCCGACCTCTCATTCAGGGGTGAGTTGGACCCACTTGGTGTATAACACAGTCGGTTGCTATAGTTCCTTACTGCTCTTGTTTTACACGGCGATTCAAAGTGTGTAACCTGGCAGTAAATCATCTTTCCTCTATACAATCAGGAAATCAAACCCCTTTTTCCTATGAAGTCTGCTGACTAAGTCTGGTTCTAAATGCCTTGGAACCCAGGGACATTACTCCTGGTAAAAATGGTACCTCAAGCTTCCCCCATTTCACATGTACAGTCATTAAATTGCTGATCCAACATAACATTACTCAAATTGTTAGTCTTACCTGAAATCACACGCTGTGGTAAGTTCTGCTCCTCCTCCAAAAGCTTTTCCTTGGACTAGTGCAACACTGATCAAAGGCAATCTACACAAGAGAGTTTTGTAAGCAAAAATCATACTTTTAGTCTTTTAGAAATTACAAAACAATTCTACCAAACCATCTTCATAGTAAAAGTTCAGAAAAATGTACTCTTCCAATTCATTCAAATAACTAGATCTTTGTGGGTAGCACAATACCAATTCCACTTATGTCAAAATTACTACTGCATAATTGATATGGAATCCCAAAATGAAACAGCAAGATAGATATATCAAGTGCAATCAAACTAAATGAGATCATGCATCATTTTATGAGAAATACCTGCTATAGATTATACCTAAAAAGACCATGTGCAAGGAGGAGTGTCAAGACAGCAACACAAGATTCTACTCTAAGCCAGTGCACTACAGAAAGCAGTAGAAAGGGACACAAAGAACTGAAGGGGTGGGTTATCTAAAAATAATGAGATTTACCATGGCAGCTTCAGCAGCTTCTTCAAACTGTGCTACTATCTCAGCCATCAACAAAACCTTTTTTCTTTTTTTTTTTGAGAACAAAAGCATTTGAGGAAAGCAGCAATCTGTTACCTTTGTTGGTGTTGTACTTAATCATGCTCAAGGTATTTAATCATGCTCAAGGTAATTCAAAGGACAGAAAGAAGGAAGAGTATGTTTCCCCACTGCCATTGTGAAGTGAATACTAACGAACAGTGACTTAGGATAAGCCAAGTTCCCTAAGAAATTGGTTAGTCACAGAATCTGCACACTGATACAGCTGTTTCATCTTTTACTACAAAGACATTTAGCACATTGAGCAGTTTTCAAACCATATTCAGAAATCAACTTCCCAATCATGACCATGTTTGGTTTTAGTTCTACTTTAACTGAAGCACCAACAACTTCTTATGGCCCAAGTTCACTTACCAGCTGCAACACACTTGATACAATACATGACACAAGTGAACCCACTGAAAGGATGCAATCTCATTTATCCTGTGGTTTATTAGGAGCCAGGAGACATGGGTCCAAGAACCCTACATCCACACTGTGATCCATCTGAGGCACCACTTTCAGGGTCACAGTCAGAATCAGCTCCCTCTAAGGGAGACTGATCCCATCTACAACAGATGTCCTCAGACAGCAGTTCACTGCTCTCCACAAACCATTGCTTCAGCATACTCTAAAGTCAACACACCTGAGGTAGGGGCTTAATCTTCAAGCATTTTCCTTCTCTTTGCTTTGCCTCATCAATTTTGATTATACAGAGACCAATTTATACAAATGGATTGCAATCCTGAGGATTCCTTACAGTGCTACTACTATAAGCCTCCAATCTCCCAAGCAATTTTACAAAAAAATGTTAATTCATAATAGTTTCTCATATAGATTATTTGAAAACAAAGAATATTTGAAAACAAAGGGTATTTATCTTCAAAGAGCTCTGAGCTGAAAAAAGACAGACTCTACCACACATGGATTTAATAGAAATGTGACTTCTTAAGTGAAGCTAAATCTAAAGGAAAGGAAAAAGTGTTTTTCAAAAGTACCAGATGGTAGAACTGAATACATTCCTCTTATGAAGTGGGAAGATTGAATTAATATATTAAATAAATGCTACCTGTGTAGGCTGCATAAGCTGTCCTTGCTTGTTATTTAAGAGCTACCGATTGAGTTGAAGAAGTCAGTTTCAGAGCTAATGAGTTGAAGAAGTTAGTTTTAGAAAATTTGAAGGCCTAGATTTCCCTAACTCTAGGTATGTCCTAGCTCTACATATACAAGCCTATAGGATTTTTTGCTGTTCCAATCTCTGGAAATTCTAATAGTTGTAAAATGTCAAGGTCTAATTTAAATCCAAAAATACCTACCTGATTAACATGTGTGAATACAAGGTCTGGGATTCATAATTACATACTCAACACTATGCCTTTAACTTTAAACATCTTGTTAGAGAGTTAGCCAAAATATATTCCAATACTTATAATTACTTCATAAAGAAGGGTAAATAAAATATATTACCTCATAAGTCTGGTTAAGGTGCTTTGCATGAACATGCACATATTCATCCCATCCTACAACGAATAGGAAATTAAAAAATGTTAAGTGATCTTAATGTGAAGCAATTAAACACACGGAGTAGACAGGAGCAAGGATTCTTTACTTTAGTGGGTTTTTTTCCTCTTTGGTTAATTTGCCCAAATTCCTGCCCAATCCCACTATGAACAAATAGAAAACCTAGTACAAATCAGGTTTAAAAAATTAAAGTCAGAACTCATTCGACTTCTATAAATTTCAGTTATAATTAAGCCACCATTAAAGTAAATGCAATACTGAACTTCCAGGATGTGAAATTTTACAGTTTTTCCTCTTAATTTCCTCTTCCCACTCCCAGTTAAACATCCATAAAGCTGAGTTTTTAAAGTATGTATAAGACCATAGTACATTGCATACTTTTCCATTGCATACTGTTCCAAATCCATAAAATTTGAGACAAGATACAATTTACCAATTTAATTTTTTATTGCTTGGGCCAAAAGCATTTCAGCCAAAAAAACCCAAACAACAAGCCACAAAAAAAAAGCTCTACCAAAACAAAACCAAGAAAAAACACAAACTAGAAAGAAGGTTCTTCTTATTTCTCTCATCCTTTATGTTTTACATCACCTTTCAATCAATAGTAAATAAAGGTACAATTGTTCCCTTCTCACCCAGTACAAGAACTAAAGGTCTCCAAACAAAATCAGTTGCTGCTATGTTCAAAACAAGTATTTCTTCCTACATTGTGCAGTTAAACTGTGGAACACTTGGCAGCAGGACATTGCATCCTCTACATGAATTCAAGAGCAACTAGATAAACTTGTGACAGAAAAAGCAACAAAAGGTTATTACATAGCAGGTAACACCTCTAGCTCTATAAGTCTTAGTCACAAGTTGCTGGGGCTCAGAGAATATTTTGAAGTAAAATTATTGCCTATCTGCCTCCCTTGTTATTATATTCTTTCTCAGACATCTAGTATTAACCAGGAACTTGACAAACAACTGGGCTAAACAACCAGTATCACCACGTTCATATAAATACTGAAGTGAACTACATGTACTATGTATCCCAGATTAAAAAAACAATAATTATGTTTGAACACTGTAGAAATAAACAAAGCAGTAGGTAACAATTTCAGTATGTCTTCCAAACAATAAGAAAAAAACCCCGAACAAACCAAACATCTCTTTACTGGAATTTACTAATTTCTAAAATGCAATTTTACAGAGGTTGGCAAGTCAAAGAATCTGCCTGAATTAAAAGCTTCTGACTCACACCTCAGGGAAAGAAATGATACACAGTAAGTCTCCAATACATCTTTGGAATAGGACCTTGAAATAATAGGGGGTCAACTTCAGGTGATTTGTTGTCCATTTAGTCATGTATTCCCAAGACATATTCTGCACAACAGCAACTGGAATTATGGTGTTCAGGCACAGATCTCTGGCAGATATAAGCTGCCATGACAATCACTGCAGAATCAGTGAATTCAGTTTTAATACACTAAAGGCCTCCTTGAAAATTTCAGCACATGTTGATTTACAAAGAGGCTTTTACTTATCACTGTAGCCATCTCCTACACCAAATATTTTCATTCCAAATTAATATTGGAGTGTTATTAACAAATTAATATAGCAATATTTTCATTCCAAATTAAAGAACTATCGAATCCTTCATGATTAGCTCTCTTAATAGCTAAGACCAAAATCCACCCAAATACACAAGGTAGCAGTTCTCAGACACAGACTTGCACAGTTCCCACACTGTAACTGTCAGGATAAAGCTGCAAAAAAAGCACTTCAGAGAACATAATTTTTCACTTCATCACAGCAGAGTTCTTGCATTCAAACTGGCCCTCTCAATTCATGCCAAAATCCAAAATGGTAGTTAAAGATTAATGCCAGAATAGACCAGCTTGATAAACACAGCTATGACTGAGCAGACAAAAAGAAAGGACTTCATAGCACTCAGGTGCTAGAGAGATTACTGTGCGTCCTATGGAAAAAATGCAGGCACAGAAGACACTGAAAAAAAAATCACAATTGCATGAGTGCTGGCCAATAAACCCTTCAAACCTTCCTGATAAGGAAAATTAGGCTATATTAAGATAAAACACTCTAAGAGGTGTTCGCTGCAGTCTAGTGGAATAATTATATTTTCAGCTCTAATACTGTCCTTGAAGAAAGAAGAACTCTAACAAGCACAAAGGGAAGTAAAATACAGAATGCACTGCATATGGAAGAAAAGGATAAACAGCTTGCAGTGGGGCTTGGGGAGGCAGGGAAGAAGAAAATCACCCTCTTAAGGTAAAAAACTGCACCACTCGCTCGTTTTGCTGCAAGAGCTCAGAGCCCATTTCCACTACAGATACAACAATATGTCTAGACCATCTCCAGCTGCTCCTAAGCCCTCCCTCCCTGGCTCACTGCTTGGGAACCTCTGTCCTAGGCTTCTAGACAGAGACCAAGGAAAGTGAAATTCTCCTTCATGCCTTCTTCCTCTCAGCAGCTTTTTCAAGATCCATTCCT